GACACGATGCAAGCGACCGATACCCATTCGTAGAGGGTCCAGCAGCTGTCGTACACAGATGTGAACGCTGGTTTTAGTGCACTCGTGTTCCCGCGACCAGCGGCACCATGACGGCTTACAGCGGAGCGCGACGCCTGCGATACACAAACACTGGTCCATCTGCAAAGAGAAATCCATCCTTGGTCGATAAATGCACGCAGTACAGGCCTGTTTAGTCTGCGAGTGTCCGCTGAGAGATAAATAAGTGCTCCATGAGAATTACGTGGAGATAGAGGTACGGTGGGAGAGCACTGGGTGTCCAGATGAAGTGTTCAGATACGAATATCTTCCCCCAGCCATGAATTTTGCTGGAAAGCCAAAGTGCTGCAGTAACAATGTTAGCAGGAGAAGTGAAAACTCAACCAGCTTACAATTGGTGGGTTTTGGGTCTTGAAGAGCGTTGAGGAACTGTGAACCAGCAACTGAAACTCCCTGCAGGTTAGCCCATGTATGAAAATGACCATGTCCACAACTGTGATAAACAACCCACAGTCCTCAAGGCATCCCCTGCAGCCCAGGCTGCAGCTCTGCACCATCTCGAGGAGCTTTGGTTTACTGGCCCATCACGACCTCTGCCCGTCGACCTGAGAACGAGCCTTATCTGCTAGGCGCAGACGAATACCGTGCACACAAGAGGCAGCCGGGGCAGGGAGCGGCGAGACGTGCTGCAGCCTCACCTGAATTAAACACGGCCAGAGATGGTGCGGTGAGTGGGGCTACGGAACGTCATAGCTACACACAGGCTGAGCCTAGTTACGCTCAGACACCAGCAAAATAAAATGATCTTAGAGATTTTAATTACAGATGAATTGCTGTTTTTAAATTGATGTAAAAAAGGAAATCTGCACTTCACTGAAGCTGACAAACACTCTCTCACTGTATCACTGTATCTCACTGTATCACTGCTGCACATCCTCTCCCCCTCCATCTCCCTGTCTCCCTCTTCTCCACACTCCATCTCTCTGTCTCGCTCTCTTTGTATCTGTCTCCCACCCCCCATCTCTCTCTCCCTCCCTCTCTTCCTCTCTCCCTCCTGCCCTCCCTTTATTATTCTCCTCATGCGTCGCTCTGTCGAGCCCTGAAGGAATGGATCCTTGTCAGCTTCTTTGAGGACACAATGTTGCAGAGACACACTCCTTCCGGAGACCGGAGTGTTGAGGGCTGATCTAACCACCAGCCTGAGGAATGGTAAACGCACCTTCGCCGACTCTCCCTGAAGCACACCGTGACAGACGGAAAGCTGGGTAATGACAGGTAGATATGTGTTTAAAAAGATCCTTTTAGTACCCGGAGCTTTTTCAGTACAACTTCTTGTCAAGTTGTTTTAACAACCAACTTTAGAAAAACATTGAGAAAATCAGGTGTCATTTTTTTCCCATTTTAGTCACTGCATTCGAAATCAGCAGAACAAACCTCTGGAGTTTCTCCCAGAGCGGTATCTGGGTATCATGGTAATTAACAAATCTGGAAAAGCGATACCCTCAAAAAAGCAGTCAAATTACACTAACATTAATTGTGTCTAATCTTGCAAAATGTAGTACTGAATATTTCCATGGCAACCATCTGCAGATTGGTTTAGATACCAGGAGTGATTATGAGACTTCGCCTGGAGATGCCGGTGCCCCAAAACAGCTTAACCTGTTAAACTACAGCATCACACAGAGATTCCCTCACACTAGCACTGATAAGACTGAGCACTGTGAAGCAGGAGTTGGGCCTTATGGTTTGAGTCCATGCGTTGGTACCTTCCTGGCGCAGCACAATGGCCGCGTGGCATTCCCACTTTAACCTCCCCCACCTGTGTGCCGCATGCGATGGTACGGCCCTGGCGCAGCACAATGGCCGCGTGGCATTCGCACACGTAGACACTCCCCAAGGTGCTTTAACAAGCATGTAGTCCTTCAAGATTAATAACACGGCAAAATACCCCAGGTGCCAGCAAGGTCATGATTCTGATAGGAGGGCTTGATGCTTGTGGATCCAGCTTAACGCTGCTCAGAACCATTAGAGCACCTTTCTGGTCTGTGGCACCCCAGTGAAGATCGATCAGGCCTTGGACTCGGCCTTTCAGAGATTAAAGAAGCCTTAGATTCCTGCAACCCCCCCCCCCCCCCACATGCTGACATGAACATGCACTGGAGAGGCAGAGGTCAGAAGTCAGAGGTCTGTGGTCAGAAACATCTCCTTCATGCTGTCTCCCTGCTATCTTCTGAGCTCACCGTCTCCTGATCATCTCAGCCATGGAGGGGGGGGCGTTCATGGCCATGCAGGCACCATTTCACTCTAACGAGCTGAAACACTAACAAGCTGGCCAAACGAGACACTCGTTAAGTACGGCTGGCCGGCCAGTTAATGTCAGCCAGCTCCCTTCTCTCCTTTTCTTCATCACACAGTTCCCTCCCCTCCCTCCTGAGGAACCCCTGCAGGTTCCAAGGCGCTGAGGCCACAGTGCCATCCTCCAGGCCGGGAGACACCCACACAGCCAGATGCGCTAACACACGCAAGCTGGAGTCAGTGCTTATTACCAACATAAAACCGGTAAAGGGGACATTCATTGTCTTCACAGCTTTGGATCATTTTCACTGTGATGCTGACAAAACCATTTTCTGTGACTGATTTATATACAAGTCAAACAAAATAGTTTTTTAGGCCGACAACATACTGAATTCCGTCATGCTCTCCCGAGGGCTGCTACCACCACTCCCAACATGAATTCGGACTGATTTGGGATTTATTTGCTTTTAACAAGCCTCCTCGCAGACAACGCTGAATGGGAGAAGCTTCCTGAAACAGCTTTTAATCAGAAGGTAATTACGAACTGAGCATGTCAACAAGCAGAAATTGCAAGCGTGTAGAGAAGATTGTTGCTTCGTTTTCCAGGCTAAGTGAGAGGCCAATTGATTGCCATCCATGTGAGAACGTTCCCCTGGTTCTGAAGTGATTTTCCACTAATCTAATTAGGGTTCTGTGAAACTGATTCGATAGGGAACACCCAATGGGGTGAGATGGTGGACGAACGCGGGTCGGCACGGACTAAATGATCTGTGGAGTTTGTATCGTGCGCGACTCCCCTCTGCTGAGTGAATCTAATGAACACGGCATGCAATTAATGACATGGCTGGTTACGGAACAGCGTCCGCAGGCAGCTGAGGCTTCTCTCCTAGCCCTCCGGCTGCAGATTCCCGGGACTGCTGAAAAGTTCCATTGGACGTTCCCTGATGCTTTTTACCAAAAATGTGTGAATACAGGCCTTTAATCCACAGATTAACAGCACCGTGGTCTCTGACAGCAAGGCCGCAGGGAAGATGGACCCATCTGTGGGTAATTTCTGTCCCTGTTGGGCAGCCGTCTCCATCCGGATTAGTGGCTGCATGCCCCCCTCGCTCTACCAGAAACAGGCACCTGCTCATTTATTCCAGTGCATCAATGTCTCTTTAGAGCGCAAACGCCGACCGGCTGTGTTTCGATTCGGCACTGGATCCTTTGTGATCCACCAGCGGGCCGGATCCAGAGTCGGACCGGCTAGGTCTATTTTCAGCCCTCTGGAGTTTCGCTCGAGAGTCACATGATTGCTCGGCAAACGTTTGAATGACGGCTTCGTGTTCTTTTGTCCCCTGTGTTCTTTAGGCAAGAGGTCTTTTTTTAATTCCTCCCGACTGGGAGAGAAGTACCCGCTTCACAAGCAGCCTGCACTGTGTGGGGCTAATTTAGTACGAAAATAGAACTAAAGAGAATCTCGACACGGGTCTTGTACTCCAGTAGATGAGTAATCTGCGAGCGGCTTGCATATTATTCTGGCAGAGAGCGGCCTAATGCACACCATCGTGGGAATAAAGCAAACTGCCAGTACAGCCGAGTCTTTCATAACCCTTTATGTACCCACAGGAGTGCATCTTGTTACAAACACCACAGGCTCGACAAGAGCTCATATACGATTTTAATTAATATGTTTAAACCTGAGGGAGAATACAATTGGTCCGCATGACTCGTCTGAGCACCGGTATCAGTGAGCTGCTGTATTTGTTTTTTTTATTATGATTGTAGCTATGCTAACATAGATTACAGTGCTAGTTTAAAAAGTTAATTTCTTGATGATCGAGAGTGGCCATCAGTAACAGGCAGGCTGAAACATCTGAAGCTTTTTACCTGTGGATTATGAGGTAATTCCTTTGCGAGGGGCTACAGAGCATGTCAGAGCCCCCGGGCCGGCCTGGGCCAGCAGCGGGGCGCTTCGCAGGACAAACGAGGGATGGCGATGGAGATGGTAGTCATGGAGATGATGGGGGTGACCGTGATGGATGGGCAGCGGACACAGAAGAGCCATGGCGATTGTCCGGGCAGGCACTGGGGGTAAATAAAGCACGGGCAGAATTATATGACATGAAGAGAGGAACGCAGTGTCACGTGACCCATATCGGCAGACAGCGCTGTAACACGCTGCGTGCCTGATCAGGCCGTCTTCCCTTCCGTGTGTGTATCTGTGTACCGGTGCCTGTTCTGTCCCTGGTTATTTCGAGGGAAACCCGGCACGCTATGCAGCGGCTACCAGGGACACGCCGTCCGTCTGAAACATCACAGCATGTGAGTCTCAGCACAAAGAGGAAAGAAGGTCACTGAAAGCCTGGAAGCCAGGAGCCCCCTCCCTCGCCCACACACACACACATAGCCCCCCCCCCGCCCCGGATGCTGACAATGACAACACAGCAGGGCTGCATTTCTCCACAGTGCTGCATGGTGTGTGGATGAAGAGGAAGGCTGGGGCAGGAGGAAACGGTGACTTCCAGCAAGCGCGAAGCAGACCTGTCTGTGCATCTGTACACGGGTGAGAGTGTGTGTCTCCCTCTGTATCTGTGTGTGTTAATCACAGCCACACACACCCCCCGACATGCAGCAGAGGGCCTTGAGTAAGGGCAGACAGGGCGCAGAGTGTCACGGACGGCAGGCGGCGCACCCTCACTGACCTCCCGACCAGCAGGAACTCCCCCACCAGGTTCTGGCGCCTCATGGCCATCAGGATTCCGCGCACCGTCATGCCCTCGCAGAAGCAGGCCACCACACGTGCCTTCGGCAGGTGGCCGCGCAGCTTCAGCAGCAGCCGGTCAAAGTTCTGCTCGCCTGCGTTGCTGTAGATCTTGTCCGAGTGGGCGATGCAGATGCCCTCCTTGGCCGCCATGTCTTTGAAGGCCTCCATGCCGCTCTCGCCATAGTTCCCTGGGAGGGGGGGTTTGGGGGGAGCGCAGAGAGGCACAGTGTGGGCGAGTTAGCGGCACATCACGAGGAGGAGGAGGAGGAGGAGGAAGAGAACACCCACCACCAGGCAGGCGAAGGGATGTGAGACGTCCTCACCCTTTCAGTCTACTCGATGCCTCACAGAGCAAAACAATAGCCAGTCTGATTTCAGCTCCGGCCAGCGGCAGGCCGGACGCACCACAAAAACACAGATAGATGATCAGGTGTTTCTGTTTAGCACACATTTGCAAAATCCTGAGAACACCCCCCCAGGCCGGCAAAGCATCACCAAGGAAATTCCCTTTATTTGCATAAAATCCAGGTCACCCATTTTCTGTGGGGACACATTCCTTGGGGTCCCACTAAAACTGCAGAAAACTTCTTCATGGAATCTACTTGCATGCACCTGCATGATGGTAACAAGCTCTAACTAGAACCCCAAGGGCTTTTCATGGGTTACAGTTTACCTGGTGATCTGAATTGGCTCTGGTTACACGTCCTACACCATCATAACCCCACCTGCCTTAGAGAAGATTTTCCAATGCTGGCACATGGCTGCTTGTGCACAGCAGGGGTAAGATAGCCAGCTAGGTCACGACTAGCAATGTAATCTCAGCAATTGCTAAAGGAATCCTCAGCACTGGGCAGGCACAGTATTCCAACAGCAGCCAACATGGAATTTGCTGGCTCTCTGAACAGAAATGAGGTGAGCATCAGTAAAAGGCGTCAAGGCTGAACGAAAATAACTTTGCAGCCCATTTTTCTCATTTGAAGCTCCTCCTCAGACACATCCATTCAAAGCATGTCCATCTGTAAAGCACGAACATGTGAATGAGCTCTTGCGCTCTATCCTGCAGCGCATGTACGTCTAGCTTACGGTTTGGTTGCTAAAATTTGTGTCTGCAGTTTTCCCACAATGCACCGGCGAGACTCGACACTACACAAACACAGACAGCAGTCTGTGCATACTAATAGCTCTGGTCATCACTGGGAGCCGCTCAGGTTCTGCAGGAGTTCTATCTGCTCCTCTGCTCTCCTTGGCGTCTTTGGCACCATCGCCGTCTCCATGGTTCATATTCGTTTTGGTTTTTGTGCTCACAGTTATCATTTCCCGAGTTGGCAGTGTCGCAAGCGCCTTTCAGCTGCAGTCGCTCAAACTTGCCATCAGGCCCGTACTAAACGTGGGCCTTTAATTTATTAATGAGTGCAAAATAGGATTAGAGATCACTGATGCTCTGGGTTTATTCACAAAGACATTTCAGTCCATAACCGGGGGTGCAGGACAAGAGCGTCGATATTCTCAATATGTAACTGACTGTTTTTTTTCCCTTTGACTTCATTTCAGCAAAGATAAATTCATCCGGACTCTCCGAGGAACCGCTAATCGTCCTTTTAAAACTGTTGCTTTCACTGGTTTCGGTCACGTAGCGCGAAAACAGCCTCACAGACTGAATTCAATTTCACATCCAGACAGAAAGTTTGTTTAACCTACATAACAAGGCCTAAGAAATTAACTCTGCAGAGAGCAGCACTTCAATCGATATTAGAGAGAAATGACATCCTGCAGTGTTTGCAAATTCAAACATATCCTGTGAATGATAATCATCAGCCCACAGAATATTTTCTGGGACTATATAAGCCACAATATTGAATATAACTCCTAAACTATGTTTGACGCAAATGTGGAAGTGAAATTCAAGAAAAAAAGCCAATGAATTCTGTCATTCTGTCAGTGGGTTGCGGACTAGACTGTGATCAGAATGACACAATCAGAGTTGTTTGGAGGCCAGAGGGACTGGGATTTAGCTACCTGTCACATGAGAGCTAAATTGAATGTCAATATACCCTGTATCTCCCTCCCTTCTGCCCTGGAAAGGTGCTAAACCTCAGTATCAGGATAAAAGAAAGCACACTTTGTTACTTGGGACATTCAAGCTAGTTACTAATAGCGTAACTGTAGTCAATGTGCAGCCCAGTGGGGAGGGGTGGTGATAAACTCCGGTCGGTGTACGGTCCAGTGGGGAGGGGTGGTGATAAACTCCGGTCGGTGTACGGTCCAGTGGGGAGGAAGTGCAAGTCCACTAGTGTGCACACCAGACCTAAGCACCTGTTAAGGTTTGCACATGTTAGCGTGCCCCAGGGGACTGACCCGCTTCTGATTTACCTGCATTTACCAAACACACACCCCAAGCCCCTGCTTTTTTGCTTGCTTCACCTCACTCAGATTTTCCTTGTCATTCTGCCATTTCACACTGGGTCCCTCCAAAGTCCTCTGCTATCTGAACGATAAGCGGCTGGTTTCTGTGGTTCTGGCTCTGGAGCCAGAGGTGCAACGGGGCTGGCCAAGCAAGCTGGAGCGACGCATTCACTGCGTCAGCTTAAGGAGTCGGGCCCCGGACGAGGTCGCATTTACCAGCTATGTGCAAAAGTCCTGTAATTAGTCTCACTGTGAGATGAGGCGGTGGCAGATGGCAGACACCCCCCCCAGTTCCGGCTCCATCTCCATCTCCCCTCCCCCCGCAGAAAAGGACGCTTCCCTGGAACGGTCATAAAAGTGCCCAGCGTCGGCCTGCTGGCCCCACGTCTAACGGGCCGACCGCGTAGCGGAAACAGCAACGTGCCGTCATGTGCCGGCTGACAGATCCACTCTGCCCGACCGGTCCCTGTCTCTGTGCCCATGCCCACTGCTCCATTGACAGGAGAACAGCGCGGGTGTGGGAAGAACCAGGCCGGAGGTAACGGTATGAAACAGCATAAGCGAGGAAGCGGAAAGAGGCACCTCAGAAACAGCCTCCCACAATGCCTTCACTCGCCACAGAAAGGAAGCTAACTACGTTTCCCATGTATCAATGGGGCACTTCATTTGGAACTTTCCAGAGTAACATTTATACAGATTCCCCCACCACAGCGGTACTGAGGTGAACATAAAGGCTGCACCTCACTTCCATAACCTCTCAACACAGAAGCAAAGGTGTTGCGGAAATGTCTCTGTGGTATGATTTCTGTTTGCTCTCGTTGGTAATTACCAGAATGAAAATGGGGCCATAGAACTTTCCGGTGCCATTTATAGAGAAACAAACAATAAAAGGTCAGGTTGGAGGCAAATTCAACCCTCCTGTTTTGGCTGCTATGGTAGTAAAGCCATTACCTCAGGCCTCACACTACTGCGTGCCACTCTGGATAATCGTGTTGTGCTATTGCTCACCAAGATGTAGATTCAAGGGCACTTTGGGTTATAGGAAGTACCAGTACCAGTACATCAATTCTCAAACCTAGACACATAGCCCACCTGACCTGTCACACACAGACACAGTCATCACATTTTCAAATTGGTTTATCCAGTCCGGGTCATGGTGGAATTAAGCCTGTCCCAGGAAACACAGGAAGCACAGGGAAGGCTGTGCTGAACTCACTGCTCCCTTGTTACAGGGCAACTAAGGCGGTATGCTAAGGCCCGAGTAGCAGGCTGTAAAAAAGCAGCCTGTTTGCACCATGTCTCTGCCATATTACCACCAGTATCCCACAAGCCTCGGAACCCTACAAAAAGGGCCACCATGTGGGCTGCCCAAGGCAGGAAGCCCAGCAACCAGCCAAATTACCTACTCCATCAAACGGATGAGAGCCCCCCCCCCCAACAAGACCTAGAGATATGCATTTCTGCAAGGGGGAGGGGCTGATCTCTGTTACATAGACAAATTCGGACTAAATACAGCCAATCGGTGCAAGCCGCCCCATCATTAAGGGGAGTGATGACAGCGGTAATGTGAAAGGCCTCGGTGAGCGACCTGCTTTTCAGACGGTGGGTGGGGGTGCCGGGTGTTACGTACGGCGAGCTGCTCCGAACCGGGAACTGCCTCCTAGGGCCATGAGTCACAGGCATGAGTCAATCTGGGAGATACTGGCCCATCTGCAAGCCGACCAATTAGGCGTGAGTACAGGGGGCACAGGGCCACTGGGTCTGCAATCCGCACCGCACCGGAGCCATTATCCCGTAATCTTCCTTATATCCCAGTATCCATCCATCCTCTAACCACTTATCTGGCGAGGGTCATGTATATGCCACTGTATTTCCTGTAATCCTGTATTTTTCCTGTAATCTTCGCTTTCCCCTTATCCTCCTCGTGTCTCTCTCATCTCTGTTAAACAGGTGAATTTTCTACAATTCCAGTGTCTTCTCTTGGGTTACCTGCATCTTCTCCATAATTCCATGGGTTACTTGTTTCTTCCCTGTAATCCCTGTGGGCTCCCTGTGTCTTCCCTGTAATCCCTGTGGGCTCCCTGTGTTTTCCCTGTAATCCCTGTGGGCTCCCTGTGTCTTCCCTGTAATCCCTGTGGGTTCCCTGTGTCTTCCCTGTAATCCCTGTGGGTTCCCTGTGTCTTCTCTATAATACTTGTGGGCTCCATGTGTCTTCCCTGTAATCCATGTGGGCTCCCTGTGTCTTCCTTGTGTGTTACTAGTTTCTTCCTCATAATCCCTGTGGGCTCCCTGTGTCTTCTCTATAATACTTGTGGGTTCCCTGTGTCTTCCCCATAATCTTGGTGGGATATTTGTGTCTTCCTCGTAATCCCTGTGTTTTACCCATAATCCCTGTGTCTTCCCTATAATGCCAATTCTTCCTGCAATCTGGCCAGCCAACCACACTACATAGCATACAAACACAAATTACGTTTGAATGTTTTGACAGAGATGAAGAGTTTACAATTGAAGAATAAACACCACAAGGTGGTCACCAGAAGCAGATAACCTCACACACAAATATAGACAGATATCCCATCTCTCTGCCTATACTCAGTACTCTCTGATAATAGGTCTGTGTGTAGCCATGCACAGCTACTCTTGGCTAGGGCCTGGCAGATTCTAGCCCCAGTGATTCATCACTTTCAAACGTAATTTCCGAGGTTGTGCCGGACTTGCCTATCTGTGCCGAATGCCCCGCCTTCCATGTCACTGTTGCAATTTCCAAATTGAGACCATTTGATTC